ATATTTCTTGGTCTCCCAGTCAACAACTACAATAATCGTACTTTTGTTTTAATAATTTTTGGATTATTTAGAACTGTATTCTAATCGTCGCTAGTTCTATTGAAAAATGTCGTAATTCAAAAGAAAATATTAAAAATTGACTATGTAGTGCTGGGAGTTCAGAACTTCTCATAAGGTGTCTTTTAATGACAGTGCCTATTCACTTTTCTATATGTGTGAATGCGGCCTAGAGTCGTCTGCTTAAAGAAGTACAACATGCAATTCGTCATTTTTTCTGATATAAGTAATTAAATGTTATTGTATATATTTTATAACATTTGCTAGTTAGTCGTTTATAAAACAGAACCGCATGTACAGACTATGAATTCAAAGTCAGTAACTAAAATTGAAGAACATTATTCTTAGCCATTGTTCTTTCAGAGATCTCTGTTACGTCTGACACTTCAGGAACGTTTTTTATTGTAAAAACTTTTGTATACACTTATTACTAAAATGAGGAACGAATCTGTACTATTTTCTTTGATCTCCCAGTCAACAACTACAGTAATCGTAGTTTTGTAGTAATAAATTTTGGATTATTGAGAACTGTATTCTAATCGTCGCTACATCAATTGAAAAATATCGGAATTCAAAAGAAAATATTAAAAATTGACTATGTAGTGCTGAGAGTTCAGAATATCTCATAAAGTGTCTTTTAATGACAATTCCTATTCACTTCTCTATATGTATGAATGCAGGCTAGAGTCTTTTGCTTGAAGAAGTACAACATGCAATTCGACATTTTTTCTGATATAAGTAATTCTATGAATTCAAACTGAGTAACTAATATTAAAGAACATTCTTCTTAAGACGAATGAATCTGTACTATATTTCTTGGTGTCCCAGTCAACAACTACAATAATCGCACTTTTGTTTTAATAATTTTTGGATTATTTAGAACTGTATTCTAATCGTCGCTAGTTCTATTGAAAAATGTCGTAATTCAAAAAAAAATATTAAAGATTGGCTATGAAGTACTGGGAGTTCAGAACTTCTTATAAGGTGTTTTTTAATGACAATTCGTATTCACTTCTGTATATGTGTGAATGCGGGCTAGAGTCGTCTGCTTGAAGAAGTACAACATGCAATTCGACATTTTTTCTGATATAAGTAATTCTATGAATTCAAGCTCAGTAACTAATATTAAAGAACATTATTCTTAAGACGATTGAATCTGTACTATATTTCTTGGTGTCCCAGTCAACAACTACAATAATCGCACTTTTGTTTTAATAATTTTTGGATTATTTAGAACTGTATTCTAATCGTCGCTAGTTCTATTGAAAAATGTCGTAATTCAAAAGAAAATATTAAAAATTGGCTATGAAGTACTGGGAGTTCAGAATATCTCATTAGGTGCCGACTAGTGACAGTTCGATTTCTCTTCTGTATATGTGTGAATGCGGGCTAGAGTCGTCTGCTTGAAGAAGTACAACATGCAATTCGACATTTTTCCTCATATAGGTAGATAAATGTTATTATATATATTTTATAGCATTTGTTAGTTAGTCATTTATAAGACAGAACCTCTTGAATTCAAACTTAATAATTAAATTTAAAGATATTAAACATTCTTATTTTTTTTTATAAAAATCCCTATTACGTCGACATTTTATGATCGCCTCTTATTTTAAAAACTTTTATATACATATGCTACTAAAACGATATACATATGAATCTGTACTAATTTCTTTGGTCTCCCAGAAAACAACTACAGTAATCGCACTTTTGTATGGCTGCTTTATGGGTTATTAAGAACTGTATTCGAATCGTCGCTAGTTCTATTGAAAAATGTCGTAATTCAAAAGAGAATATTAAAAATTGACTATATAGTGCTGAGAGTTCAGAACTTCTTATAAGGTGTCTTTTAATGACAGTTCCTATTCACTTCTGTATATGTGTGAATGCGGGGTAGAGTCTTCTGCTTGAAGAAGCACAACATGCAATTCAACATTTTTTCTGATATAAGTAATTCTATAAATTCAAACTGAGTAACTAATATTAAAGAACATTCTTCTTAAGACGATTGAATCTGTACTATATTTCTTGGTCTCCCAGTCAACAACTACAATAATCGCACTTTTGTTTTAATAATTTTTGGATTATTTAGAACTGTATTCTAATCGTCGCTAGTTCTATTGAAAAATGTCGTAATTCAAAAGAGAATATTAAAAATTGACTATGTAGTGCTGGGAGTTCAGAATATCTTATAAAGTGTCTTTTAATGACAGTTCCTATTCACTTCTCTATATGTGTGAATGCGGCCTAGAGTCGTCTGCTTGAAGAAGTACAACATGCAATTCGTCATTTTTTCTCATATAGGTAATTAAATGTTATTGTATATATTTTATAACATTTGTTAGTTAGTCGTTTATAAAACAGATCCGTATGTACAGACTATGAATTCAAAGTCAGTAACTAAAATTGAAGAACATTATTCTTTGCCATTGTTCTTTCAGAAATCTCTGTTACGTCTGACACTTCAGGAACGTTTTTTATTGTAGAAACTTTTGTATACACTTATTACTAAAATGAGGAACGAATCTGTACTATTTTCTTTGATCTCCCAGCCAACAACTACAGTAATCGTAGTTTTGTAGTAATAAATTTTGGATTATTGAGAACTGTATTCTAATCGTCGCCTGTTCTATTGAAAAATGTCGTAATTCAAAAAAAAATATTAAAGATTGACTATGAAGTACTGGGAGTTCAGAACTTCTTATAAGGTGTCTTTTAATGACAGTTCCTATTCACTTCTGTATATGTGTGAATGCAGGCTATAGTCGTCTGCTTAAAGAAGTACAACATGCAATTCGACATTTTTTCTGATATAAGTAATTCTATGAATTCAACCTGAGTAACTAATATTAAAGAACATTCTTCTTAAGACGAATGAATCTGTACTATATATCTTGGTCTTCCAGTCAACAACTACAATAATCGCACTTTTGTTTTAATAATTTTTGGATTATTTAGAACTGTATTCTAATCGTCGCTAGTTCTATTGAAAAATGTCGTAATTCAAAAGAAAATATTAAAAATTGACTATGTAGTGCTGGGAGTTCAGAATATCTCATAAAGTGTCTTTTAATGACAGTTCCTATTCACTTCTCTATATGTGTGAATGCGACCTAGAGTCGTCTGCTTGAAGAAGTACAACATGCAATTCGTCATTTTTTCTCATATAGGTAATTAAATGTTATTGTATATATTTTATAAAATTTGTTATTTAGTCGTGTATAAAACAGATCCGTATGTACAGACTATGAATTCAAACACAGTAACTAAAATTGAAGAACATTATTCTTAGCCATTGTATTTCAGAGATCTCTGTTACATCTGACACTTCAGGAACGTTTTTTATTGTAAAAACTTTTGTATACACTTATTACTAAAATGAGGAACGAATCTGTACTATTTTCTTTGATCTCCCAGTCAACAACTACAGTAATCGTAGTTTTGTAGTAATAAATTTTGGATTATTGAGAACTGTATTCTAATCGTCGCTACATCAATTGAAAAATGTCGTAATTCAAAAAAAAATATTAAAGATTGGCTATGAAGTACTGGGAGTTCAGAACTTCTTATAAGGTGTCTTTTAATGACAGTTCGTATTCACTTCTGTATATGTGTGAATGCGGGCTAGAGTCTTCTGCTTGAAGAAGCACAACATGCAATTCGACATTTTTTCTGATATAAGTAATTCTATGAATTCAAATTGAGTAACTAATATTAAAGAACATTCTTCTTAAGACGATTGAATCTGTACTATATTTCTTGGTCTACCAGTCAACAACTACAATAATCGCACTTTTGTTTTAATAATTTTTGGATTATTTTGAACTGTATTCTAATCGTCGCTAGTTCTATTGAAAAATGTCGTAATTCAAAAGAAAATATTAAAAATTGACTATATAGTGCTGGGAGTTCAGAATATCTCATAAAGTGCCATTTAATGACAGTTCCTATTCACTTTTCTATATGTGTGAATGCGGCCTAGAGTCTTCTGCTTGAAGAAGTACAACGTGCAATTCGACATTTTTTCTGATATAAGTAATTCTATGAATTCAAATTGAGTAACTAATATTAAAGAACATCCTTCTTAAGACGAATGAATCTGTACTATATTTCTTGGTCTCCCAGTCAACAACTACAATAATCGCACTTTTGTTTTAATAATTTTTGGATTATTTAGAACTGCATTCTAATCGTCGCTAGTTCTATTGAAAAATGTCGTAATTCAAAAGAGAATATTAAAAATTGACTATATAGTGCTGGGAGTTCAGAATATCTCATAAAGTGCCTTTTAATGACAGTTCGTATTCACTTCTGTATATGTGTGAATGCGGGCTAGAGTCTTCTGCTTGAAGAAGCACAACATGCAATTCGACATTTTTTCTGATATAAGTAATTCTATGAATTCAAGCTCAGTAACTAATATTAAAGATCTTTCTTCTTAAGACAAATGAATCTGTACTATATTTCTTGGTCTCCCAGTCAACAAGTACAATAATCGCACTTTTGTTTTAATAATTTTTGGATTATTTAGAACTGTATTCTAATCGTCGCTAGTTCTATTGAAAAATGTCGTAATTCAAAAAAAAATGTTAAAGATTGGCTATGAAGTACTGGGAGTTCAGAACTTCTTATAAGGTGTTTTTTAATGACAATTCGTATTCACTTCTGTATATGTGTGAATGCGGGCTAGAGTCGTCTGCTTGAAGAAGTACAACATGCAATTCGACATTTTTTCTGATATAAGTAATAAAATGTTATAATATATATTTTATAGCATTTGCATTTGTGACTAACCATTTATAAAACAGAACCTCTTGAATTCAAACTT